GCATCGGTGGCATTGTGCGAGATTGCAAAACAGGCTACCAGTAGTGCCAGTAGTCCTCTGTTGGCAGTACTAGTCCCTCAAGAGATCAAAACTAACTTGGCCGCAGCTTTGTGAACCATTCTAGCGGTGTAGATGCATTTCAGCGGCTCAGCTATTAAGCTGAAGATAGCTGATATCAACATCGCAAACCAAAACACTCCTGCACATTGGCAAAGAAATGCCAGCTCTTTTGGCAAAATGTGCAGGGAGTATTCGTGTTTTTGGAAATGTGTTCTGAGGACTGAGGTCTGGAGAACACAATCGACACGATTATAAGCTCCAATCCAAACAATCTATCCAAAACTATCGTGAACTGCTCTACACGTGAATGGAACACCTCTCGACTCAACTTCAAATGTCAAGCCTCTTGGCAACTCACAACTCAGAGTTCTCGATCTCAGTTTGCTTGGGCTGCTGCATCAAGGATTGAGTATCAGAATTGTCATGACGACGCAAGCTCTTGTGGCGTTTTCCGTCACGTTGCACCAACTCCGCTGTTGATGGACACTCAATGCCGCCGGCTGTAGCCTCATATGCCCAGGGAGCTCCCAGAGGGTTGGCACAGCTGAAACCGTCTTTCGCTTCAAGAGCCTCCCAGTTGCCTCAGAAAAACAAACTCAGGAGATGTCATGAGATGTCATGAGTCATCAGCAAAATCACACGAAACCAAGATCTGAAAACAATGGCCACATCAACAAAACGCACGCAAATCCACTTTAAACATATATTGTGCAGTAATCTATTCATAAATTTAACATATAATATATCTTATCTAGTCTTATCCCTTCAACACACACCAAATCTATGCTTCCAATTAGTTGCCGACTTCGAAGACCACAATCACTTCCGCTGGCTCCTTTCCAGTGGCTTCTTCGATCCAGTAGCCCCGGCGGATGGGAAAGTAGAATGCATCAAAGGGCCCCAAGTTCGTGGCCTCGTATGACGTGGAAGATGGTCCGGTGTTGTTTCCACCACTGATGCCACCCTGGGTGGCTGCATTCACGTGACCAGAGATCACGGTCATGATGGCTGCCGCATTGGTGATCCACACAAGGGAACGGAATCCTCCGGGCTGGAAGACAATGCGCTGTTGAGACATCCTGGTGGCAAAGGGGAACTGAGCCGTTCGAATGTTCCAGACCTGAATTCCTTTTCCAAGACCTGGACGTGTATCCTCCACTTCCACATCACTACGGTTCACTGCGGCTGGTTCTGCATTCTCTTCTGGCAGCCACTTGAACTTGGCAGAATCCACCTTTGCAAAGAATGTACCAGTGTCGGCAGACATCTTCGGCTTTGCAGTGGCCCACTCGCCCATGCTCATCCCCATGGAATAAGCTGCGATCTTATCTGGCAACTGTGCATAGCTCTCTGCAATCATGTGGTCATTTACCGCCACTGACTGGGGGCCATTGAAGGTCAGCACATAATTACACCCCTCTTCAGAGACGCAAACGAAAGCATGTGGCCAACCCCTGGGGAAGAACCAAACTCCACCAGCACCAATTGTGTTCACTGCAGATTGCCAAGGTACACCTGAGGGAGAAGTCAAATACACCTGCATCACACCTTGAACCATGTAACTCCACTCATCAGAGCTGTCATGCCAATGGAAGTTGCGGATGGCCCAATGGCATTGATTGATCACCGGTGCCACGGTCATGGTGGCCCTGCCAGCAGCCCAAGTGCACGGCTGATTCACGTAGAGGCCCAAGGTGTTGGGACAAATTGCGTTCGACGAGCCATTGAACATTTGGTCCACCTTCTGGTAGTACACTTGATTGTCGGCCAAGTTATCTTGCAAGCAATTGCTTTCCACCGTTGGAGTAGGAAATTTGCTACCAGGATCTTCAGAGTATTGTGCAGCCACTGGCAACAGGAAGAGGCTGAAGACCAATGCCATGGCGCAAGGGTTTCTAGTGACAGCAAAACCGGACCGCAGCTCGAGTGGCAAATGCTACGAACATTTGCAGAAACTTCATGATGCTTCATCATAGCGAGCTCTCTGCAG